GTGAGTGTAGATCTCCTTGGTATCTTTTCTTCGGTTCAGATCTTCAAACTGGCACTGAATGTAAGCCGCTGCCTCTTCGTATGTATTGGAACCTGACACAGACAACCAACATTGTCAGCTCAAGTTCTAAAGCTGCCTGCACCCAGCTGAGTGAGGCCATCGGTATCTACTTAAGAAAGGCAGCGCAACACAATCGGGTACAAACAGAATTCTTCCTCTTTCTGCTGTCATTACAATTTTCTATAGTCATTAGATTCTTCATGAAAACAGACTACCACTGTACTAAAATAAAATCATCACACAACGGATGAGGAAAATAACAAGTTTCACTTCCTCTTCATTTACATTCCAGCTGAAAAAGAAATATAGACAGTATACAAAGGAGGTAGAAGAGTTAAGTGGGTCCATTTCTATAGAAAGCAACTGTTGAAAACAGCACATTTTGCCCCTTGGAGTGATCCTGAAATAAGGATTCCAAGAAGGTAAAGCATTCACTTCCAAATCATTTCAAAGAGGCAAATGCAAAGACAAACTAGCAGATGGGAAAGAAGTGGGACCCTAGTTACATACTTTGGCACAGGGTCTCTCTCACTCCTGACTGGCTTCAAACTCATGACTTTCCTACCTCCTGCATCCTCTCCAGTGCTAACACTCAGGCATGAGCATCACGCACAGCTAGCGGCACACTTTAAAGGGTGAGTTCTATCTCAATGGAGCGGCTGCTCTTTAAGGAGGAGGGGCAAGAGAAGATCAACAGTAAGCCTTATTTTCAGTATGTATAACTAGCACTAATCATGTACCTTCTATACCATCTTTTGGCCTTGGGAAGCCTTTAGTAGACAGACTTAGACACTGCCTGTTATATGCACGTGTACAGGTGCCTGTGGAATCCAGAAAGGGCACTGGATCCCCTGGAACTGGAGTTACAGGTGGTTATAACCCACCATATGGGTTCTGGGAACCAAATCTGAATCCTCTGTAAAAGCTGCACGTAATCTTTACCATTGAGCAATCCTTCTCTGTCCCCCATAATTATAAGGAAATTTCACCAAATAGATATTTAACCATTTTTAAGTATGTTACTCTAGAAACATGACACTACAGAACCACTACCACCTTAGTTCCAGTTATCATTCGAGAAAAATACTCTTATTATCATTAACATGCCCACACCCCAACAACATGCTTCCTTTTTCTAAGGATTTGCCTATTTAGATACATTATATAAAAGGAGCCACACACTATGTGACTTTTGTGTTTGGATTCTTTTACTTAGCATAGTGTTTTTGAGGTTTATCTAAGATACAGCACCTACTAGTATTTAGTTCTCTTTATGACTAAGTTAATACTCTACACATATGCCACAATTTGCTTATTCCTTTAAGCTAACTTGAATCTTAATTCTTTCTTTCCCACCTACTTGTAAACACTGTTTCGATGACCTCTGCTTCTTCTCTCTTGTTATCGGATCACCACTTAGCCTGTGAACATTTTCTCTCTTTCCCCTTCAGCCCCTCTGGTCACAGGCAGCCTAGGCTTGTCTTTAGTTCTCTCTCTCAGTTACCTGCGCACCTAGCACTCTCTCCATTCTGCTTGCATACTCTTTAAGAACAGTCAGCTCGCCGGGCGGTGGTGGCGCGCGCCTTTAATCCCAGCACAGGGAGGCAGAGGCAGGCGGATCTCTGTGAGTTCAAGGCCAGCCTGGGCTACCAAGTGAGTTCCAGGACAGTTATCTGCACATAATACTGCTGACTACTCGCTACTCCTCGTTTAGATAGTATTACCCTTGCCTCCTTTAAAAAAAAAAAAAAAAAAAAAAAAATTACACTTAATGAGCAGTTATGGGTGTATGTATACGGGCTCATGATGCCACAGTGTGCAGGTGGTGGTCAGAGGGCATCTTTCAGGAGTGAGTTCTTTTCTTCTGTAATGTAAGTCCCAGGGACTGAACTCAGGTCACCAAGCTTTGCAGCAAGCACCTTTACCTGCTGAGCCATCTCACTGGCCCATTGCCCTCACTTTTTAAGATACTCTGATTCTTTTCTTTTTACAAACCTTTATTTCTCTCCTGTCGATAGCCTGCATTTTTCTTATCTTTTCTCTCTCCTCATTTTATATTCCTGTCTCTGGTCACTTCCCCCATCTCCACTATGTTAATTACTGATGTTCTCGTGTGTGTGTGTGTGTGTGTGTGTGTGTGTGTGTGTGTGTGTATCACTACCTAAAAGCCATCTCTACGCGGTTACTCCACAGATCCCGCTAAACCAACACTCCTAGACATGCATTCAGACCATGGCAAGTGTTCAATGGAGACAGACGTGAAACACATTTGACTTCCTCCCGTGTCTCAGGTAATGAGAGCCTTCCATGGAAACGGCTAACTTGGCCCTTTCACAGCTCTCACAGTGGCAGAGTCCTGCATCCTTGTTTGTGATCTCCCTTCTTTATCCGTAACCAGAGTCCTTTCCTAGGACCTTGACCTGAGGTTATGCAAGCCCAGTGCAGCCTCTCTGAACGGAGGAGACACAGAAATGGTGGCAACGCCACCTTTCAACTTAGAACTGAACAGCCAAGGTTGGTGAGTGGACAGGAGAGAGAACGCGCGGAGGTGAGGAAAGAGGTGAAGACGAAGGTTACCCCACTAGAGAGGTGCCCAGCAATGACTTCAGTCTGAATTTCGGTCTCAGACCCCCTGCATCCTGCCCTTGGCTTCTAGGATGCACCTCCTGGTTCCCGCCCAAAGGTTTGATTGTATCGTGAGACGGCCCTGACTAAGCACCTTCCTGCCATCACCACACCGCCGCTAGAGCACTGAGTACCCACTGAGTACCCACTGAGACTCTTCACGGGTTCCTCACGGCCACAGTCGGAGGGAGACAGAAGACGGGCCTCATCCCTCTACCACTTAAATTCCACTACTGCCATATTCCATTTGTTAGCCTCCATACTGTCTTACACGCAATCCCCTCCTCGAAATGCTTTATTCTACCTAATGACTTCCTTTTAGTAACTCACATAACTGTTATTGCCCCTAGAGAAAGAACACACTGGCTCCATCTACTACCTCTACTTCTGATAATATACATTTTACATTATAAAGCTGTTCGTGAATTTCTTTCTGGAGCTAATGTTAGTTTCTTAAGAGATTTTGTTTTTATATCTCTTTGAACATATGCTAAAATTTAATCTTTATACTTTACTTTCCTCCAAAAATCGGGACACTGGCTCTGAAGTAATGCTCTAAAGTGAAGAGATCTTACTCAGACGCTTACTGCGGAGTGAATGTGTGAGTCATCAGTGCGGACCTAAAACACAGCGCCAACAGACCCCTTGACCTTTACCTGTGTATTCTGGGTAACAGATTGTTAATGGGCTCCTCTTTATTTTTTCCTCAAAAAGGTCTTTCTTATTAAGAAAGAGGATGATTGACGTGTCTGTAAACCATTTGTTGTTACAAATGCTGTCAAACAATTTCATGCTTTCATGCATCCGGTTCTGAAAAACAAACAGGGTTACGACGACAGGTTAGCAGTAAAGTGAAAAGCAGATTAATTTACACACCAAGAGGTTTAAGACAGCAAAATGAATTCATGGAAGTAAGTTAGGCATTAACATAACCTGAAGCTGAGTCAATCCTGATTTATATAATTCTTGGGTTAGGGGATGAAAAGGGGTGGCTGACAAGATGCACTCTGTCCACATAATGTGGTTACCAAGAGCAAACAGGGAATGGTTTTGGAAATCTAATCTCACTGACAAGAAAATAAAAGGCATTAAGTTTTGGTTTCAGTGAGTAAATAGTGGCAACCTATCTTCCTAGGAGTTATGTTCATTTCCTAGATGTATCAGATGGATTTTTATCCAAAGCTTCAACATACCATTTCTTCATCCTCAGCCAGAACAAGATCATAGTCACTGAGGGCCACACAAAAGATAATTGCTGTCACCCCCTCAAAACAGTGAATCCACTTTTTCCGTTCTGATCTTTGGCCACCTACATCAAACATTCTGAGTAAAGAAAGAAAGCACAGATTCAGCAAAGTCACATTTCTATTTCTCTCTAGTCTGTCCCGGTTAAGAACGTCCCCATTATCACACATTCAAACCCCATTTATAACAGAAAGACAAGGGTCAGATCAACTGTGTCTAAATAATTGTCAGTGGCTAAAAGTAGAGCCCACAGCTGAGCCTCCTCCCTTCCAAAACATGTACTGGATGCGCCAAATGTCAGCAGAGTTAAGAACTAAAAATGGATTAAAGGAAGGAAGGAAAGGAAAGGATAAAGAAGAGCTGACCAGTACAGCTTAAGACAACTGCAGCCATAACAACCAGTATTTTGCTGGGTGTTTACCACGGTGCCAGGCACTACCCTAGACCACCTGGCACACCAACTCCAGTTTCTATAGACTTCCCTCGGCCAGCTACGCTGCCTCTCAAACTGGCTTGCTTATGCACACCCAACTTGCATTCTGAGTCCCGAGTTTATTTGCCTTGTGTTAATAAAAAGCATATAAAGAAAATTATGGAAAAAAAATAAATTTTATATTAGGATTCTAAGAATTTGATCAATAATTTTCTTAAAAACCTTGTGCCAATTTTGGGGGCAATGACTATGATCTCAGCATTTTGGAGACTGAGGAAGAATGTCAAGTTCAAGGCCAGTCTGTGGTACACAGCAAGACTGTCTCAAAAATAAATAAACTTAACCAGTATTTCTCAACACCATATCGTGTTTGAACCTAATCATCACCAGCAAAGCCTCAACTGCTCACACACTATGTTCTAGTCCAGATTTGATTCAGACTTCTAAGAGCTAAGTTTGTCAACAGTGTCCGTTTTTACTTCCTACAGTGATGGGAACAGCTGCCCTACTTTGTCTTTAGTCAATACCCGAGTCTGAATGGGTCAGCATCCAAATGCTCACACACTCTCAAGATCTGTGTCTGAAAGCACTGGAAGTTTTTAAAGGCTAGTGTCTGCTACACTGGTATAGTGAGTGAAAAGTTCAGTAACTCAGAGCCTAAATTTCCAGGGGTTTTTCACCCCTACAGATTAAGAGAAGTGAGATACATGTCATTTCTCTAATTATGATTGATGTGAATGTTCATCCCATCACTTCCTGACCCAACTCTTCCTTTTGGAGGACCTTGCAGTTCTTTGCAACCTTTGGTCTTGCATGACAGCTAAATGATTAATCACAAATTGGCCTTAATCCAGAGTCTCTTTGAAGGTTTTAGAAAGGCTAACATTTCACCATACAAATCTTTCTAAGAGAGGCATATTAGTACACCAATAATTCCAGTTTACATTTCATTTTCTACAAACTCCATAAAACTAGCAGAATGCTATAAATTCCCAAGTCTGCCTTTTAGTACACAGTAACACAGTATTATTCACTAACAGATCAACATTTTATAAACATTACCTCATAACTGAGAGGCAAGTAAGCAATTACACAATGCCTTGCATATGGTAGATGCTCAATAAATGTTTGAATAAATGGATAGTGGTTTTGCCTAGAGAGAAGAGGAAAAGGAAGAGGTGATAGTACTTCATAATCAGAGATCTACATGCCAATAATAAAGTGGATGTGGCACTTTAATCTGATTTGGCTACTGATCCCAAATAGAAAGAGAGTAATTTGACTTGGTACTGGTCCTTGCATAAGAAAGACAAGGTTACCTAGCTAAAGATCAATCTATGACATCAACCAAAAATGTTTCCCACACTAAATATTGGCCTTGGTATTTAATTAGAACTGAATTATTCATTTTATAGTACACAAACATCTCATTGCTATGACTTCACAGGGCAATCCACATAGTTTCTTCTGATTTTGTTAATTAAGTTCATTAGTACTTAAGTAGCCAGTTTACCCTAAAACCATTCACCGGGTTTCAAATCCAGTTTAGTGTGTTAAGATTCCAATACCTTACCAGGTGCTGGTGATGCACGCCTTTAATGCCAGCACTCAGGAGGCAGAGGAAGGTGGACCTCTGAGTTTGAGGCTAGCCTGGTCTACAGAGTGAGTGAGTTACAGGACAGCCAAGGCTACACAGAGAAAGCCTGTCTCAAAAAACAAAAAACAAAAAAACCAAACAAAAAGATTCCAATACCTTGCTGGATGGTAGTGGTGCATACCTTTAATCTTTAATCCCAGCACTTAGGAGGCAAAGGGCAGTGAGTCTGAGTTCCAGGCCAGCCTGGACTACAAAGTGAGTTACAGGACAGCTAAGGATACGCAGAGAAACCCTGTCTTAACACTGTCCCGCAAAAAGAAAAAAAAAAAAAAAAAAAAAAAGATTCCAATACCTCCATTGGTCCTAGTGTTGAAGTCCTGTGCGGACTTCATAAATCCTGACTCTTCATTTGAGGGTCTGAGTTAGTGGTTCCCTATGTATGCAATAATGCTGACTTCCACATATCACACATAATCATAACCAAGTAGCTTCTTAAAAACTCATCATGCATTGAAGGAGAAAAGGTTACTTCCAACCTCAAAGGTCACAAACACAAAAAAAAGGAACCAAAAACAGTTTTAGTATATTTAAAAGACCATTAACAAAAAGAGAAGTGGAGGCTTTTTCTTAGAATGACTGGTGCTATGAGAAAATTCTTTCAACACACTAGCACGTCCTCTAAACAATTACTGTTTACGTTATCATACCACCGTAAAACACCTATTCCCAGGCCTATTTTTGCATCGCACTACAACTGAATTGAGCACAGTGCTAGGCGTATATCAATACAAAAGCCAAGCCAAGTTTAGCTCCACCCCATTAAACTTCACAGGAAGGGACCAGTGAGGGGAGTGATGCTGCTAAGAAAATATTTCTGTTTTAATATCGCAGTGTCAGGACAAAGTCATTTGTGAAAGATAGTTTCTACCCATTTAGTACTTCTGACAACAGCCAATCCCTATTTGTCAACTAAGAGAAATGTCTTGAAAATAAATATGAACCAACACAAATTGGCAATTACATGATTGACTCTAACAGTAGGTAAATTATTACTTAATTTTACATTCAATTTCCTATAAATGGATATAAATACTGATGCTACCTGGAAGGAAAAAAAATGTGTGGGCTTCAATCGGATGCAACATGAAGCTAATGGTCAATAAATATATTAAGTTTCTAAACCAAGGAACACTGCTTACAAAAACCTTACACCCCGATAGAGAAGCTCACTAAGGGAGATTAATATGCCAGGTGTGGTGATGTATGCCTGTAATCCCAGCACTCAGCAGGCAGAAGCAGAGGATGCAAGTTTGAGGCCAACCTGGTCTACACAGCAAGTACCAGGTCATCCAGGTCTATATCATGAGACCTTGTCGCAAAAACAAAAACAAATCAACGTTGGCTCTTTGTGCCAGGTACAGGCAGGAAGAGGCTTGTTACTTACTTGAAGTATAGCTCCTTGAAGGTGAAGTGTGTCTCTACAATGCCTGTAGTCTTCACTCTCGTCCGAAGAACATCTTGTTGAGTTGGAATGTAGTTGGTCTGGGATATTCTATCCAAATCATTTAGGTAACTAGATAAAGTACACATTGGTTTTTATTTGGTAAAGCCAACCATGCACACAACAGGTCAACTGATCTGCTCGGCAAAAATCAGACTCTGGGACTAGCTAGGTACTAGCATATGTAAGGCCCGAGGTTCAATCCCAAGCACCAACAAACTACAAAAAAAGTAGAACCTGAAACTCACTGAAGGGGCAGAAAAACAGTAAATCTTCAGTATCATAGAATGATGGGGGGAAAGTAAATCTAGCATAGGGAAATGAATAGGTTCTACACAGAGTAACAAAAATGGCTTTAAATATACTGTGAAGGCAAATTTAAAAACACGACAATTTTATTCCTGCTAAAGAAAAATTCCTGATATCTAATATGAAATGAGTTATGTACTTATACAGAAAAAACCAAACCTACAGGTGTCACAGACCTGTAACCCTGGACTCTAGAGTTCCAGGACAGCCTGCACTACATAGTAAGACCCTATGAAAAGAAAAAGACAAAATCCTCAGTTACTTAAACTTATGTCGGCTGCATACATAACTATTTGACAGCTCACTAGAGAATGGCATTGGAGTTATGAAAATCAGAAGAATCCACTCAGTGAGGCTACAGGTGGACCTGCTAGTGTATGCCTGTAAACCCAGCACTTGGCAGAGGCAGGAGGCCATAAGTCTGAGAACGATCAGGAAGATAAACACAGAGGAGTGTCAGGCCAGCCTGGGCTATATAACAAGATTCTGTTTCAAAAAAGGGGGAATAGAATAGAGAAAGAGACAAAAAGCTAAATCTTCACTGATTCCAGACAACCCCTGAAGAGCAGGTGGAGCTACTTCAGGTACAAACCAAATACGAGAGCTCAGATGAACAATATGGAGGGTTACAACTCTATAAACAGCACATAACTGGGGAGGCAGAGCTTCCCCAATACATGACGGAAGAAGCAATAAAAATCTACCTTTGATGACCACTGAATTACCTAAACTATCAGTGTGCACATAAAAACAATCTTGTTTTTAAAAAGTGGACAAGGATCCTTTTGCTGTTTGCCAAATCATTTCCACCAAAAGAGTAAGTAAGCGTTATAATATCATTTAATTTCTTGTAACAATCTGTGACAGAATGAGGACGGGAGAATAGAATACTAGAGAAAATACCTTAACACTCAAAAGTGCTTTACCTAGTTCAGAGGGTACAGACGACAAATACTCAAGCACTCAGGTACAGATGACAAGGTCCCCCCAAAAGTACATTTTTAAAACACACTGTGAATACAGGCCTTAAAAATAAAGGTATAGTGGCCCAAACACGTTCACATGTAATAATAAAAGTACTAGTTACCAATTTTTAAAACTAATACTCAAGAGACCTTCCTTGACAAGGAACTGATTCAACCCCATTCTATGGCACACGTTCTCATTCTATGGAAGTCTACTACCACAGTCTGGCACAAGATGTAAATGGTGCCGGGTGTGTGCTGCAGGCTTGTAATCTCAGCTATTTAGAAGGCTGAAGCACAGTGATCACAAGTTCAGGCCTACCTGGGCTACAGAATGAGTTCAATGCCACCAAGAGTGAGATTGTGTCTCAAAATAAAACTAAAAGGAGGTCTGAGGATGGGTAGCTCAGTGGTAAAGCATGTGCTTAACATGCACGAGACTTTGGTTCAATCCTTAGTACGCCCCCCCCCCCCCCCGCCCGCCACACACAAAATTCAGTGGTAATGACTACCACCAGAAAAACTCATAGCACAGCCAATGGACAGAGTATAAAAAGGGCTGTCATGCCAGATGTGGTGCTGCACACCTTTAATCCTAGCATGGTAGGCAGAGGCAGGGGGATCTCTGGTGTTCAAAGCCAGCCAGGACTACACAGTGAGATCCTGTCTCAAACACAACAATAACAAACCAGGGGGTGGGGTGTGTGTGTCATCATGAGAGAAGAGATGTCCAATTTCAACGTTCCCCTCCAGCTGGCTATCAGTGCCTTGACCTAACACAGCGACCTACCTCTACTAGATGTCTCACCTCACTTGCTTACTATAAATGTTCCACAGAGATTGCCTTAAAGTGGGACAGATGTAATAGAGGATCCGATAGACTCCTGGACATTTCTAATACTTAAACATTTCCTTAAGGATTGGCACTGAACATCTCTAGAGTCACCAAATCATTTTCTATTACAGTTTCAAGGAAGGAAAATGACTTACTATGACGCAGAGTCATTGAGCTGATATTCCCTGGACCTGCTGAAACATGCCTGCACCCCACCATCTCGCCAGAGCCGTTTAATCACGCCTGCAAGTTCTGAAGTCATGACCCCTTCTTCAGCACTGCCAGCTAGGACAAATAACTGTCGGGCGTCATCCTGAGGAAGACAGTTAAGAGAGGGACAGGTGAGTTCCCACTTCTTTAAGACTAGATGAGTCTCATTTTACACACACTCATGCACTCAGGCACACATACACATACTTCAGATATCATGCCACCATCCTTTTGATGGACTCACAATCCTCTATCCTGATGACTTATGATTAATGACGGGGTGGAGGTGGGGGATACTGGTCTCTGAGACAAGTATATGCAATAGATTTCCATTCTGTTATAGTAAGCCCTTACTGAGGACTGGGAGCATGGCTCAGTGATAAAGTACATGCTGTGCAAGCAGAAGGACCGGAGTTCAGATCCACGTAAAAGCTGGATACAACAGCAAGAGCCTGTAAACTCACTGCTGGGGGAGCAGAGAAAGAAAGATCCCTGGAGGTCACTGGCCCAAATGGCATGCACCACATTTGGAGAGACAGTGGAAAATGGTAGAGAAAAACAACTGCAGTCAACCTCTAGCCTCCACACACTCTATGCCCACACACATACATGCATGTGTGTATGTTCCCTGGACCTGCTGGGGGTGTAGCTCATTCAGTGGTAGAGCACCTGTCTACTACTACATAGGAATGAAAAGATTCGCACATAAGAAGTAAAGTCTAAGCATGCACAGGGACTAAGACATTAGTCAAGTTTAAGGCAAAGGTTGCTTGCTCCTTCCCTTTCACTGCAGACAGCAGGCAGGAAGGATATGAAGCATGTAAGATGCTTAAAGCCCAGTAATGGGAATCAAGTCCTCAGGGAAAATGTTTAGTCTCTAGATTTCCCTAAGGAACACCATCAATTTTGATGGTTTTAATTTATCTTATCCATTCCTATTCGAAAATGTAAAACTGAACACAGCAGGGCAGTGGTGGTGTATGCCTTTAACCCCAGCATTCAAGGAGGCAGAGGTAGACAGATCTCTAAATTTACTGTCTATAGGTTAAGACAGGACAGCCTGGGATACACAGAGAATCCCTGTCTCAAAACAACAAAACTGAACCCAGATCTCAAAGATTTCTCTATATAAATCTAATATTTAACAACCTTAAAAATTCCAAGTAACTATAAAAATAAGGGTTTTTTCCTAAATCACATAATACATAAATAAAAAGGGAGAAGCAATCATTTGTATCTTTTGTTTGTTTGTTTTGCTTTGTTTTTTGAGACAGTTTCTCTGTGTAACAACTCTGTCTGTTATGGAACTCACTTTATTAGACCAGGCTGGCCTAAAACTCAGAGATCTGCCTGCCTCCTGAGTGCTGGGATTAAAGGTGTGCGCCAACACTGTCCAACCATTTATATTGTAAGTAGCTATTAAGACAACAAAAACTAGCAAGCAAAAAGCCCCATGGAACACAGATGTTCAATTTGTACAACTACCTAATCATCCACAAAATCACCACATTGCACTTAAAATAACCTTGCCAAACTTTGCCATCAAGATCCTGTCCGATATTCATTCTGGTAATACTGTGTACATCCTCTCTGTAACAATTTCATGCACAATCTGCATTTCCTCTCTCTCTCATTTCTTTTTTCTTTTTTTAAAAATATATTTCATAGAAATAATATTGAATTTTATTTTTATTATCTTTTTTTTCCAGGGCTGGAATTGAACCAGGGCCTTGTGGATGCCAGGCAAGCATCCTGCCTCTGAGCTCCAGCCCTTCATTTCTTTTTTCATGTGGTGTGGGAGTTGTATATATGTGTGTGCATGTCCATGTATGTACATGCAGGAGAGCCAGAGAAAGATGTCAGATGTCTCTATCACTCTTGGCCTTATTCCCTTGAGACTGGGTCTCTCACCAAACCTCAAGCTTGCTATTTAGTTAGACTGGCTAGCCAACAAGCTTCCAGGATCTGTCTGTCTCCGGCCCCTAGGAAAGGGCTACAGATGCGGAGGACCATGCATGATTCCCTTGTAATGATGGTTCTTAGGATTTGAGTTCAGGTCCTCATTCTTACACAACAAGCACTCTTGGCCACTGAACTGAATCATCTCCCTAGCCCTCTTCTCTCTTTTAAAATAATAACAACAACAACAACAATAAATAAATAAAAGAGCAAATGAGCCGGGTGGTGGCGCACACCTTTAATTCCAGCACTGGGGAGGCAGAGGCAGGCGTATCTCTGTGAGTTCAAGGCCAGCCTGGGCTACAGAGTGAGTTCCAGGAAAGATGCAAAGCTACACAGAGAAACCCTGTCTCCAAAAACAAAAAACAACAAAAAAAAGAGCAAATGATTAAGAAATGTTTAAGCATTATACAAATTGTCAAACACACTAAATAACAAATAAGACTTTTTCCATATATGGTACACTGTGTTATATAACATTTAAAAACTAGACAAGTCCTAAAAATTGACCTAAACTCAAGCAGGTATACAAATAATTAAGTCCCTGTATTTTTTTTTAATACCATGTTGTTCAAATTTTAGAAACTTAAAAATACTATATACTGGTGCTGTTCTGATTCTGAGAATGTTCTTAGGGAAACATTTTCCTCTTTCTACTTGATCGCTCACCAGTCTGCTCAAGCTTCCTCTATAAAATACAGCCTCTCGGTCGGCTTCCAGAGTCCCTCTTCACAACAAACTTAAACAGATAGGAGAGAAAACCGTCCCATACTTGGCTCTGTTCTTTTCTCTCCACTCTCTTAGCAACCATTAAAAACTAGAGGAGTAAAAGACACATACAAACATAAACCCTTAGCTCTGAGAAAAGGAGGAACTGTGAAAGAGGAAAAGTTTGTTTGAAAAGGACTTTCCATCAGGCTAGGCGGAGGCTGTAAACACAGATGGCTCCTGAGTCCTGAGGGGAGCAAGGACATAGTCAGCCTCTCAGTATACACACGAGTATACTGACCCCAGCTGTGCCTGCGTGAGCACGGGCATGTGTGTGGAGCAAAGGACAATCTCAGGTCCTGCAGCTAAGGAGCATCTGCCTTGCGTGTGTCTGTCTGAGGCTCACGAATTCAGTAGGCTGGCTGGCCAGCGTCCCCAGGGTCCTCCTACCTGTGCCCCCAGCACAGGGCTGTAAGTGCACACTATCAACACCTGGCTTTCTTGTGAGTTCTGGGGATCAAACCCAGGTTGTCACAGAGAGCAAGGACTTGACTGACTGAGCTCTCTCCCCAGGCCCTGATGACACCTGATGAAGGAAGTAAACGCAAGAGAGAGGGATAGAGGTGGACAGATGATGGAAAAGAAGGAAGGAGAGCAAAAGGAAGACATCCAGAAATAAACTAAGAGGAATAAAGAAGAGGAGAACAGGTCAACACAGAGAGGAAACGTCAAGAAACACAGTATTATTGACCAACTATCAACTACAACAAATATTAGAGAGAAGTCGTTAGAGAACATGAAGGAGAGAGAAGAACAACACAGGAGAAATCTAGTCCAGAAGAAAAGTCAATGAGAGACAAAGAAAAGAAAGGGGCTGAGATAGAATAAAAACCTGAGATAGAATAAAAACCTGACTTTATTGAACTCCCAAATTTCCCTGAGGAGAAGAGAAAACTAGCCTGTGCAGGAAGACTACTATGAGTTCAAGTCCAGCCCAGACTATAGTATAAGACACTGTCTCTAAAAACCAAACATGGGGGTCTGAAGAAAAGGCTTAGGAGTCAAGAGCATGTACTGCTCTTGCAGAGAACCAGCACCCACATAAAGTAGCTTCCAAGTGCCTGTAATTCCAGCTCCAGAAAATCAAACCCCTCTGGCTTCCAAGGGGATCCACACAGACATGTGCATATCCACATCCAGACACATACATACACATAATTTAAATAAAACTCAAAGAGAAAAAGAAGAAAAGGCCAGAAACAGCCTCTGGGCTAAATGTTGTTCACTTACTCACTCACTTAGCGTTGCTGAGCCCTTAGTACAATGCCCGGGGAGGAAGAGGCCCTGAACTGTATGTCCTATGACAATGAAAGTCCCTCACATTTTCCTTCCCCCCTTTTTGCCATTCTTTTCTTCCATATCCCTTAATCTACATCCTGTTCCCTTACTTCACCTCAAGATATATCTGCTCAAGAACAAACCGAAGTCACAATGGCCCTTTTAACATTTTCCCCTTCAACTTCCCACTTATCAAATATTAACTTGCACTTGATAAACTGAGTAGCTGATAAGAGTCCCTAAGCTACTCACAAGCATATAGTTTTGTCTTTCCAGGCAAAGCCCCCAAGTTCCTTTCGTTTCTTTTCCCATGGCACTTAAGTAGCATGTCACTGACCACAGCTGGCATCCTTTGATGGGCTCTGTACTTCTCTAGCACTTTCCTGAAATTGAGCTGGTGATAATATAAAGGTCTCCTGTCTTCATCCTGGTCCTTTCTCCACTGCCATCAAATATTCTACTTCAAAGTGCCCTCAAAGTCTATTAAATATTATTATTAACTGACTTTTAAATTCTGATGTGTGTAAAGCATTAAAGAGTTATATTTAACCTACCTAAAATCATTTCTAAATTGGGGAGTTTGTGTTATGTCCTTACAGAATCTATTTTGGGAAACTGTTTTTTTCCCTTGACCCCTGGAGCTCTGAAAGCAGGGCTAAATACGCAATGTGTCTTTTAGAGTATATATTTACTCTCATCAACTATTATAAAATAGAAGTCAGTGGTACTGTGAAGGAAGCCCCTGAATAGAGTCATCACCAAAACCTACAGTCTATCTACAGAACCCCATTTCCAGGGCTCTGCTGGCAGCGGTAACTCGCTATCTATTGAGTCAGACAGACAGCCCTTCAAAAACAAGCACACAGTATTGTACGCCATCTTATCCATCTTATCTTCTTGTTCCCTAAAACATGACGCAAATTTGGCTTAACTGAATCTACAGAGGAGCAGCAAGGGAAGAGGAAATGAGAAATACTTACTGCTCTGGCAGCTTCCCCAAAATCAATCTTTAACCGTCCCATGGCTCTTATGATTGCAATGATGGACTGAATAGTATTGCTGTAGACAACTACTTTATACTGTTTACATTCGTCCTCTGAATAGCCATCCTCATGAATGATTCTTCAAAAGGAAAAAAGCCACAAGTCAATACCATGAATGGAAAATAAAAACATTATGAACTTTTCATGAAGAGGGGGAAATTCAGCCTTGTAGGCCTTGTGTGAACTTACTTCATCTGTTTCACAATGGTACTTTTACCAGATTCTCCAGCACCTGAAAAGAAAAAACAGATTTTGAATTTCTTTGTAGTCAAACAAAAGTATGGAGTAATGTGACTGGTAAGTCTAGGTTAATGGAAAACAAGGTCCTATGAAATTTTGGTGAGTTTTCATGTTTATCAGGACAACTGTGAGTTTCTCAATTAGAGCATTATGCTTTCTTTTTATTAGTATTATTTGTGCAAAATAGACATTTCTCAAAGAGAGCAACACAAATATTTTTAGTAACAACATAAAACATGATATATATACTCAATGAACACAGGCAAAAGAACAATTGTGAATTTGTGGCCTATGGCCTTGAAAGACCCTAGCCCTTCAGGCTTACACCCCCAAGCCTCAGGAAAAGAGAAACTTCAAGCACCAGGAAATGAGAAACTAAAAATCTAGTTCCAAGGGCAACCTGACTTAGCCATTGTTCAATCTCCCCTGCAACCATATAACAATGTAAAAAGATTTCTGTTAAGAGATGTGCTCAACTGTGACTGGGATAGTTGCAAGTGTTCCAGGAAGGACCACTGTGACCTGTGTGTAAACTCCACTCCTGCATTGATACCCTCCTTGAGGTTTCAGGAAGAATGTACCTGTTGACGTAACTGTGATCCCTCTGTGATCACTCTGTGATCAGACCATGATCTTGTGAAACGAAGTTGTATGGGAATTGTAATCTTACGGCTTCTGTGGGTTTTTCCTTTAAAGACCCCCATGGGGCTGCAGTGAGATGCAGCTCTTGCTCTCAGGAGCGGGGTTTGCCCTTCTATACAGAAGCTTCTTTAATAAAACCTCTTGCTATTGCATCAACTGGACTGGAGTCTGGGTTCTTGGGGTGCCCACTTGAGACCCTAAACTTTGGGGTCCAACAGCCTATTCATAGTTATTATATTCTGTGACCAGAAAATGGAACTGAGGAATGTTCCAGAAGCAATCCTTTCAGTCACAGGGCTAGAAAGGTTCCAAACAGCAGAACCCACATTACCTCTACCTTTCATGATACAGTTCTTCTTCTGGGAGGGTTGTACAGATTGCACAGCCCTACTTGGCCAACGGGAATCACTTTGTCTAAAGACCAAGGTCAAGTAAACTGAGTCTGCCTGCTAGATCTTCCCTAGTCAATAATTCTTCCATCTTCCAAAATGCCTCTTAAAACACTACCACCTCCCTCCAACATCAAATGCTACATCTGACTCATAAATGACAACCCTGCCCCCTCCTTTTTAGAAAAAGGCAATCAGAGAACATTACCTCATTTTCCCATAACCAAATCTACTAATCTACCTGTTTCTCTAGCTTCATCAACGGATGAGCTGTCTCTCCAATGTCCTTACTGCTCTGCTTATATACTTATCTCCTTCATTTCACCTCAACTTGTGGCTTCTGAAATGTCCACTATCACTGAATATCACTGCTTTTCACTTCTCACTACGTCAGTCTTAGCACACAAACCGTTGCACTCCCAGCTTCTACACACACCCACCCCTACTTTTCTTTGACACGCCCCTCCCACACACACACACTCATTTTCCTGAACTTCTACTACTCCTCCGTTTCCCCTGTGCCTCTTTTTAAAAGATCTATTACATTTACTCATGTATGGGGTTGGGGGGGGGAGCGACAACACACACGACAGAATGTATGTGGAGGTCAGAGGGAACCTACAGGAGTTAGTTCTCTCCTTCCACATGAGGGTCCCAGGGATCAGCTCAGGTTTTCAGACCTAAAGGCAAGCAACTCTACCTACTGAGCGGCTACCGTGGCTGCCCCTCTTTGTGTCTCTTTAGAGCAAAGTTTCCCTAGTGTGGCATCTACACAAAATCTCCAGTTAAGTTCCTCCCATTCATCCCTCCACTCCACTGAAACCATCCCTCAAGGAAAGTCTCCAAGCCACCTGCACCTTTGACAAGCTGAGTAGTCATGTCTAGGCCTTACTCTGCCTTTCAAATCTACTTTTTCCAAGTTGACCCTTGCCTTTTTCTCTATATTAATTTTCTAACACACCTAATTTGATTGTTTAAAGCACTATTTATGAATAAAAGTTAACCTCCAAAGAGTAACATGTATCAGGATGTTCTATGTACTTTGCTAATATTAACTCATCCAACCTTCACATCTCTGTAAGGCAGATACTATTACCCTCATTTTATAATGAGATAAATGAAGTAGAAAGGTCAGAGAAATTGTCCACAGTTATATAGCAGGTGGCAAAATACACATTTCCACTCAGTTTCAATTCAAAGCTGGAATGTGCTAGATTCCCAAAGAGCTCCAATCTTACTCTCCAAACTTGGCTTTAAATTCATCTCCTACCTTATAGATCACAGCAGATGTCCTGTAAGCATCTCAAACTTAATGCCCAATACCGACCGAGTTACTCATTTCCTACATCCATCTCAAACAAAGCTGCTCTTCCTTTAGCCTCTTCATCCAGTAAATGGTACTGACATTTAACTAACCTGCTCAAAACTGGCAGGTGGCAAAGAAGGAACACAGAGATGGAGAGGGGGTTCCAGTGTTAATACATTAGTAAATGTTAAATTCTAGTGTTAAATATTAGCAAAATTTGCTGTGTTGTTTTTGGTTTTGGTTTTTTTGTGTGGTTTTTCAAGATAGGGTTTCTCTGTGTAACAGTCCTGTCTGGAACTTTCTCTGTAGACCAGGCTGGCCTTAAACTCACAGAGATCTGCCTGCCTCTGCCTCCTGAGTACTGTGATTAAAGGTGTGCACCACCAACAATGTAAAAAAAAAAAAAGTCTTAAAAATACAAATATAAAGCTGGGCAGTGGTGGCGCACGCCTTTAATCCCAGCACTCGGGAGGCAGAGGCAGGCGGATCTCTGTGAGTTCGAGGCCAGCCTGGGCTACCAAGTGAGTCCCAGGAAAAGGCGCAAAGCTACACAGAGAAACCCTGTCTGGGAAAAAAAAAAAAACAAATATAAGACAAATGTGGTGGTGCATTTAACCCCAGCACCCAGCACTCAGGAGGCAGAGGCAGGCGGATCTCTGTGAGTTTGAGGCCAGCCTGGGCTACAGAGTGAGTTCCACAGCTAGGGCTGTTCCACTGAGAAACCGTGTCTCGAAAAACAAAACAACAATAAAAAAAAAAAAAGTTATAATTTTAACAGTTTGGTCCTTATAAACTCGAAACCACAGCCTACCTAGTTCATAGCAAAGCTTCCATAGTTCTTTTTTCTTTTTTTAATTTTTAAGCTAGAGTCTAGCATCTGGGTGGTGGTGGTGGTGGTGGTGGTGGTGGTGGTGGTGGTGGTGGTGGTGGTGGTGGTGGTGGTGCTGGTGCACGCCTTTAATCCCATCTGGGATTATTTGGGAGACAGAGGTAGGTCGATCTGTGAGGTCAGCCTGGTCTACAGAGTGAGTTCCAGGACAGCCAGGACTGCTACACAGAGAAACCCTGTCTCAAAAAAAAAAAGAAAAAAAAGAAAAGAAAACAAACAAGTAACAACAAAAAAAGACATGGTCTAGCTATGTAGCCCTGGAGTCTGAGATTCTATGTATACCAGGCTGGCCTGGTACTTGACGCCTGTCTGGATCATGCCACGACACTGGCTAGAGTTGCCTCGTGGCCTCTATTTACCCCAAATTATAGTGCGTGGGCAGTAAGGTCCAACAGACTGACCGCTGCCGACCTCCTCACCCTCACTTCTCGTCCGTCCCACTCTGTCCTCAACGCTCTTGTCAGGCCAGCTTCTGTGTGGTGCCTCTAACACACAAAACTGCTTCTCACCAGGCCAGATTCTGACTCACAGTTTTCACATTTGCTCTTCCATCTGACTGAAATCATTTTTGCAAGGGTTTCTTCTTCACTCACATTTCTGCTCCCCTCAGAGCATTTCCTGATGGAATTACCTTTGACCCCACAATGTGTCATTTCTTCACAGCATGTATCTTCACTACAGACTCACTTTTCTTACCTCCCCACTAAAACAAAAGTTCTGTATTCCCAGAGGCCCCAACTGAGTCTGATGACAATTAGTCAAATAATTAATCAAATAAATATTGAACAAATGTGCTTTTGTTGTTGTTGTTTGAGACAGGGTTTCTCTCTGTAACAACTCTGGATGTCCAGGAACTCGCTTTGGAGACCAGGCTGGACTTGAACTCACAGAGATCTGCCTGCCTCTGCCTCCTGAGTGCTGGGATTAAAGGTGTGCACCACCACGGCCCAGCACAAATGTGCACTTAATATGCATGATAATGCACTAAGTATTTCTTCACTTTGCCAACAAAAAATTTAAGTTAAAATAGCATCTGAATACAAAATAACTACAGTCTTGAAGAATCAAGAAGTTTTTGTACAGGGCGGAGAGATGGTTCAGGGCACTGGCCCCTCTTCCAAATGACCCAGGTTCAATCCCTTGCACCCACATGACAGCACACAACTATCTGTAACTATAGTTCCAAGGGATCTGGCATCCCCATACAGACATACATGCAGGCAAAACCCCAATGTACATAAAAAGATGAATAAATCTTCAAAAAAGGGGGGGAGTTGTTTTTTCTGTTTGTTTTTGTTTGTTTATTTGTTTGTTTTGGTTTTTCGAGACAGGATATCTGTGTAGTTTTGGTGCCTGTCCTGGATCTCGCTCTGTAGACCAGGCTGGCCTCCAACTCACAGAGATCCGTCTGGCTCTGCCTCCTAAGTGTTGGGATTGAAGGTGTATGTGCGTTACCACTGCCCGGCCAGGGGAAGTGTTTGTATATATGACTTTATCTGCTCTTACTACAATATTCAAGTAGCACAGTATCTTTCTTATGATAACGTCAAAAATATAAATTTCACTATTCATACATAGAAAAACTTTTCAGTTCTGGGGAAAAAACCAGAAATGCAGGCTTTTTTTTAAATGGTTAAATTCAGAATTGCAGACCATCCCCTGTGAGCATTAGTGTAATAGGCACTGAATGCTCTCCTTTCAACACTGAAAATGATATTCCTACTGCTCATGTTGGGTTATTTTGAAAGGCATTATAAATAAATCTC